AAGAGAATTCTTAAAAAAAAAAAAAAAAAATCTTACCATTCAAAAACTTGTGACTGGTAGTGTAGGCTGATAGCCAGTATAAAGAGTATGAAAAGTGCAAACTGCTTGTCTGCCAGCAGGGGGCGGTTAAGAGCGAAGTTTTGATTTTAAAACGTGCAGTGCTCATGTTTATTCAATGAAGTCAAACGCCACAAATAAATCAATGTATGGGAAACACTGGTAATGTAGGCTATATCGAAATTTCGGAAATGTGTTTAAAAACCATATCACCGTTTCTGAAAAAAAAAAAATATCGCGATACATATTGATATTGAATTATTGTCCAGCCCTAACACATCCTCGTACCTCACCGCTCCAAACTTAATGCAGGAAAGGTGAACATTCCTGCATCATAACTTGGACTGAAAGAGGAATGTGTAGAAAGTGAGCATGTCTCCAAAAACCTTGTTGAGCTGCAGGTTTAATGACTGCATTTTTTATTGATTTATTTTTTTTACAGAAATTGTTTTGACTTATGTTTTTGATTATTGAGCTGCAGCTTTAGGCTCACTTAAGTGACTGCATATTTTTCCATTTAGAAGGATCTTTTTCTTTTTTTTACAGAAAAGAAAAGATGTTCTGATTATTGTTGAGCTGCAGGTTTAGGCTCACTTAAGTGACTGCACTTCATTTAATTAAGAAGAATTCAATTATTTATTTTAAATTATTTAGCCTGACATGTTTACTGTTCCAAAATGTTCTATGTTTCTTAAAAATAAAATGTATCGTGTTCAGTGGAAAATAAAGTTGTTGTTTTTTACCCAGACATTTAAACATAACATATTTTAGAGCTGTAATAGCAATACCGTGATATTTTTATCTAAGGTTATCATACCGTCAGAATCTCATACCGGCCCATGCCTATGGGCGGGTATATGCAAATGTTGGGGTCGTAACTATTAGTGATCCCGACTGTAACGTCACAGTCGGTGTTATGTTCTGATTCACCTATTTTTCAGTGGTCTTTTGCATGCACGAGATTTACATAAGGAGGAAACAATGGTGTTTGAGGCTCACTGTATGTCATTGCCATGTTCAGAACTGTTATTATTCAACTATGCCAAGGTAAATACAGTTTTCCATTCTATGGCACCTTTAAAGTGTTTAAGCTTCGTGGTAATGGATGTACCTCAGTTTCTCAGTTTCTTTTGGCTCCTTCTGCTTGTAGGAGTGCGAGGAGTGTGTCCAAGGGAGTGTTTCCAGATCTGTCATCTGTGCATCTGTGAAGAAAAGCAGAATGTGTTATAATTAAGATGTTTGAAAAATTGTGACAATAAAATACTGCCTTCCTAGCTCAAGCAGTAAAGCATGGTGTTGGCAAAGCCAAGGTCATGGGTTCAATTCCCAAAGAATTCAACGCAAGTCGCTTTGGATAAAAGTGTCTGCCAAATGCATTACTGTACATGTAAACAATATATAATCTGTTACTGAAATAATAATTTCAGACTTATTTTAGTCTGAAAAGGTATTAAACATGTTATGTATTAAAGAAAACGGCACCTTTTGACTTTAGCCATTGCGCAACATCAAAGGCAGCAATATAAATCTGCCAACTTGGTGTGCTTGCCTCAAGTAAATTTGCTAAGGCAACAACAGGGTGTGTTTCACCTTTCAGGAGCCATGGATTTCACAGTACAACTGGACACGCCTGTCAAAAATTCTCAGAGGTCAACAGACATTTGCATCAGAGATGTATTTAATGTACTGATATGCTTAAATTACACAACTTTTTACATAACAGCAATTCATTATCAAGAGAGAAATGTGTAATGTTCTACACTTAACAGACATAGCTCAAAACAATGAGGAAAATGAATTTGAGACCAAAGAGAGATTTGAGATCACAAACCAATATTGTATAGTATACATATAATGGAATACATAAATAAATATATACAAGTAAATAATAGCTTAAAGCTGTCGGACATCTCAAACTGCATTTTGACAGCTTGTAATTCATTACCAAAGGGCCACTTTCCCTCATATGCCATTCCATATCAGTCAAGCTCTCTTCGCTGATTTACATCTATTTACATTTATTTTCCTGACAGAGGCAACTTACAAAAGTGTTATTATGTTTTGTTGTTGTTGTTGTTGGATATATATGTGTATGCATGTATACGCACACACTTCAGTTAAAAACTTTGGGGTCTTTGTTTTTTGAAAATATATTTTTGAAAGTCTCTTATGCTTGTAACCTTCTTTAAAATAAAAAAATATATATTTGTAAAGATTTTTCATGAAAACAAGATGCCAATAACGAACCTTTATTTTTAAGAGGTAATGTTTCATTTATTTGATAAAAAAATACAGTAAAAGCAGTAAAATTGTGAAATAAATATTACTGAAAACAACCGTTTTCTATGTGAATATATTAAAAATTATAATAGTAATTTATTCCTGTTATGCAAAGCTGAATTTTCAGCAGCCTTTTACTCCACTTCAGTACTCCACTTCACTTCAGTGTCACATGATCCTTCAGAAATCATTTTAATATGCGGATTTGGTGCTCAAAAAATATTTTTAATTATTTCCAATGTTTCCAACCGTTGTGATGCTTAATACTTTTGTAGAAATTGTTATTTCCAGGTTCAAGTTCAAAACAATAGCAATTAAAAAAAAAAAAAAAAAAATCTTACCATTCAAAAACTTGTGACTGGTAGTGTAGGCTGATAGCCAGTATAAAGAGTATGAAAAGTGCAAACTGCTTGTCTGCCAGCAGGGGGCGGTTAAGAGCGAAGTTTTGATTTTAAAACGTGCAGTGCTCATGTTTATTCAATGAAGTCAAACGCCACAAATAAATCAATGTATGGGAAACACTGGTAATGTAGGCTATATCGAAATTTCGGAAATGTGTTTAAAAACCATATCACCGTTTCTGAAAAAAAAAAAAAAATATCGCGATACATATTGATATTGAATTATTGTCCAGCCCTAACACATCCTCGTACCTCACCGCTCCAAACTTAATGCAGGAAAGGTGAACATTCCTGCATCATAACTTGGACTGAAAGAGGAATGTGTAGAAAGTGAGCATGTCTCCAAAAACCTTGTTGAGCTGCAGGTTTAATGACTGCATTTTTTATTGATTTATTTTTTTTACAGAAATTGTTTTGACTTATGTTTTTGATTATTGAGCTGCAGCTTTAGGCTCACTTAAGTGACTGCATATTTTTCATTTAGAAGGATCTTTTTCTTTTTTTTACAGAAAAGAAAAGATGTTCTGATTATTGTTGAGCTGCAGGTTTAGGCTCACTTAAGTGACTGCACTTCATTTAATTAAGAAGAATTCAATTATTTATTTTAAATTATTTAGCCTGACATGTTTACTGTTCCAAAATGTTCTATGTTTCTTAAAAATAAAATGTATCGTGTTCAGTGGAAAATAAAGTTGTTGTTTTTTACCCAGACATTTAAACATAACATATTTTAGAGCTGTAATAGCAATACCGTGATATTTTTATCTAAGGTTATCATACCGTCAGAATCTCATACCGGCCCATGCCTATGGGCGGGTATATGCAAATGTTGGGGTCGTAACTATTAGTGATCCCGACTGTAACGTCACAGTCGGTGTTATGTTCTGATTCACCTATTTTTCAGTGGTCTTTTGCATGCACGAGATTTACATAAGGAGGAAACAATGGTGTTTGAGGCTCACTGTATGTCATTGCCATGTTCAGAACTGTTATTATTCAACTATGCCAAGGTAAATACAGTTTTCCATTCTATGGCACCTTTAAAGTGTTTAAGCTTCGTGGTAATGGATGTACCTCAGTTTCTTCCTCGATTTTGGCTCCTTCTGCTTGTAGGAGTGCGAGGAGTGTGTCCAAGGGAGTGTTTCCAGATCTGTCATCTGTGAGGGGACAAAGAAAAGCAGAATGTGTTATAATTAAGATGTTTGAAAAATTGTGACAATAAAATACTGCCTTCCTAGCTCAAGCAGTAAAGCATGGTGTTGGCAAAGCCAAGGTCATGGGTTCAATTCCCAAAGAATTCAACGCAAGTCGCTTTGGATAAAAGTGTCTGCCAAATGCATTACTGTACATGTAAACAATATATAATCTGTTACTGAAATAATAATTTCAGACTTATTTTAGTCTGAAAAGGTATTAAACATGTTATGTATTAAAGAAAACGGCACCTTTTGACTTTAGCCATTGCGCAACATCAAAGGCAGCAATATAAATCTGCCAACTTGGTGTGCTTGCCTCAAGTAAATTTGCTAAGGCAACAACAGGGTGTGTTTCACCTTTCAGGAGCCATGGATTTCACAGTACAACTGGACACGCCTGTCAAAAATTCTCAGAGGTCAACAGACATTTGCATCAGAGATGTATTTAATGTACTGATATGCTTAAATTACACAACTTTTTACATAACAGCAATTCATTATCAAGAGAGAAATGTGTAATGTTCTACACTTAACAGACATAGCTCAAAACAATGAGGAAAATGAATTTGAGACCAAAGAGAGATTTGAGATCACAAACCAATATTGTATAGTATACATATAATGGAATACATAAATAAATATATACAAGTAAATAATAGCTTAAAGCTGTCGGACATCTCAAACTGCATTTTGACAGCTTGTAATTCATTACCAAAGGGCCACTTTCCCTCATATGCCATTCCATATCAGTCAAGCTCTCTTCGCTGATTTACATCTATTTACATTTATTTTCCTGACAGAGGCAACTTACAAAAGTGTTATTATGTTTTGTTGTTGTTGTATTAGACAGTCTATAATTCTAGTTGTCGTCCAATCACTTAACAGCCTGCTCTTGCCATGTTTACCACATTACTACTAAACTACAACACTCGACTCTGCTGAGTGTTTCTTTACTAGTCAAATAATAGTAAATACTGTAAGCTGTCATTTACTGTTTATCATTGCAGTTGTTTTCCTGGTAGCAAACACGTTTTAATTGTAATTAATTACATTAGCCAGTGTACAATGCGAACGAATGATGCAACAAAACCTGAATGCTCCCTTTATAATCAGTAAGACCAATGCCTTTTTTCTGTTCTCTTTTGAATGACAGGCTATGATTGACTCATTGCTTGTTCTTAAACAGTCAGCTGATATACTGCCAATTAAAACTGACTCCAGATCAGCCCAAAACCAGTAATATCTACTTCTATTCACCGTATTTAGCCCTGCCTCTTTTCAGCTCTGCACTGCTTCAAACATTACAATATTCATGATAACTTTTGTTAACTCTACGAATCAGCATACTTGACTAGAGATCTACATGCTTCAACAACAAACTGAGACTGACAGTAAACACGACCTTTAATTAATTACATTAGCCAGTGTACAATGCGAACGAATGATGCAACAAAACCTGAATGCTCCCTTTATAATCAGTAAGACCAATGCCTTTTTTCTGTCCTCTTTTGAATGACAGGCTATGATTGACTCATTGCTTGTTCTTAAACAGTCAGCTGATATACTGCCAATTAAAACTGACTCCAGATCAGCCCAAAACCAGTAATATCTACTTCTATTCACCGTATTTAGCCCTGCCTCTTTTCAGCTCTGCACTGCTTCAAACATTACAATATTCATGATAACTTTTGTTAACTCTACGAATCAGCATACTTGACTAGAGATCTACATGCTTCAACAACAAACTGAGACTGACAGTAAACACGACCTAAAAACTGTTCCTCTTATGAGACTGATGAAAATGGAGCAGGAAAGAAAGGAAGGGCTGGGCCTTTTAAATAAAGGATTGTGTTTAATACACTAACGCAATCACTAATGTGCTATTCATGCGGGATATTTTGGGCATTTGGGCTGATTTAGAGACAGAAAAGTGTGGCCACCTGAATGACATCTGTTTTTCCAAGTTAACAAGTGCCCACTTCATTACTTTTCAACTACCTTATTTACAATTTTAAATGTGAATTGCAGAGCAAATAAAACTTCTGCTCAGAATAAAACCGTTTTTATGCACAATGACTCATCAATTTTGCCCATTCTCGACTTCTATTTCCCAATCAGACTTTGGTGAAGTGCACATGCACATACTACCATACTACAAATGGGCACAAAATGCAAATTTTCCAGTACATTCGAAATACCCAAATGACCCATTTTATTTGCCTAAAGAAACATCATACAACAAAGCTCACTGCTTGAAATACTGTATCCCACAATGCATTGTTTGCATTTCATTGCAAACATCCCGCAGATCATGAGACTGCTATCGGTCTACAGCCAGCTCGGCTTACTTTGTGCTCTATGCAAGTGTGTGACAGCAGACAAAGAGAGAAAATACTGAATGTGTGTGTCTGTGTTTATGTGGGCATACTCCTTCCCCCTCTCCAAGCCCTGTTCCTGACATTGCTCAGGGCACAAAGCCACACTGTTACTGCCGAGATCAGCTCCACAGCAGCATCAGAATGGGCCGTCACGCTGAAACACCCCCACGGAGCTGCTCCGTTGTAATGGCTCAGCTTTGGGAATGGGGGTGGCGGCGGGTTAATGTACACACAGGATCCTCACCACACGATTTAGCCTGAAGACTAGGGCTTTTGTTTATCTGGGTCAAGTGAACGGCTGACTGGCCAGCCTGCCGGCAACCCTGTCCAGATGCACTAGCACTGCTGCTGCTCAGATCCAGTAAATCCTTATCTGGGACAGATAACCACCCCAGCCTGGGAAAATGGGTAACCTACATTTCACCAAAGCCACTATCGTTCTTTTCATCTGTACACAGATGACAGCTCAGCATGTTTATTTCCTCTATGCAAAAACAACTAGACCTCAAGGTGCGGCGGGGGGGGGCGGACTCTGATGTGAAGGGCTGGAAGTGAAACATGTAAACAAAAGCCAGTTTCACAAGTAAACTCATCTTAACTTATGTCAATCTGAAATGTAATACTGCAACACTGATCCACATATTTTAAATAAGTAATTAAATAAACAAAAATATTTATCTATTTTTTAAATAAATCTTTTTTAGCCTTTTGACCATTCATTCACGGATTTGCGCTACTGTCTTCACACACAGACGGAACTTACTTGAGAAGTGTGAAGTGTGACATAATACACCTCTGTAAATAAATACAATATAAATTAACGTCTCGCGCACTTTAATGCCCTTTGAATGTAACGTGTATGTTCCCTTGGAACTGGAATCATGGCGGAATTTCATGTGAAGTCCACTTCGCAGGGCACCTACGGTCGAACAAGACAATTGCTTGAATTAGAGCTGTCGGGGTGAGGGAATTTCCCTTGTGGTAATTTTGAGTGGCTCAATAGCGATATGCGGTTTTACCGCTAAATAAATAAATATATATATATATAATTTGTGTGTGTATGTGTTACTATATAACTAACAAGGTCATAATCAGAAGACAATGAAACCGAAACCAAATAGCGTTGAAACAGGAATTGAAGTAAACAGAAGAGAATGACAAAATAACAGTCCACTTAACAGAACATAAACCTGACAATAAGATCGTTAGGCTATCGTTAGCCTATATGTATAACAGTTAGCCTAGTTGTAATCTGAT